CCTTATGTTCCCAAGAACATGAGACAGAAGACGCCTACTTCTTCCTATTGTTGCTATCAATACTGTTATGACTATGAAAGACCCTATATCAGAAGCCTCCAGGCAGATGTCCAAGGTGTCCGTTGTCCTCAGAGAACTCTTGGCAAAGATTACTGTAGGGGCCTTAATAATCAGAATAGGGACTTGGGGCCCATTTTACTATAATTCTAATCAGGTAGGTAGTTATTTAGGCCCTATAAAATTAGGGTTTGGGGTTTCCGGTTCGGGCTTTCGGGATGAGTGCGGTGCTTCTCGAACTTCCAGCATCAGATCTCTGAACAACGGAACCTTGGTGCCATGGGATGGTTCTAGGCAATCCTCGGCTCGAAAAGCTGACTTTCGGTCCGATTTTTCTGGTATCATGAGAGTTGAAAACATCTTGCAGGTGCCTGTTTTATGTATTCATTACAACTACAATCGTTACATGAGGGGGTGGTCCTGGGTATGTCATAACGGTCTCTACGTCCTGACATGTCTCTGGAGCCATCCGGTGGCTTCTCTCCCAAACGAACTAGGTCTGTCGCTCCAAACCTTTTGTTCGCGTTTGTCCTGGAGGCATGAAAGACCTGGCTCTTGAGACCAATATTCTCTACTGCAGTGGTAAGAATAATCATAGCGATGACAGTAACATAGGGGCCGCAATGTTTAGAATCGGGTTTTGGGGCCCACTATGCTGAAATATCCTATCATCATGATATGGAACCCCCACAATAGCATAGGTAATTATTTAGGCCCCTACATTAACAACGGGCGTGCCGAAGCTTCTCTGAAACCCAGGCTCGGAAGATGACTGTGAGGTGCAAAATTGACCCAGCCTTGGGTCGCGGTGCGTCAGTGCAGGAACAGAAGCTTGGAGCATCACAGGTGCCATGCCCATGTTGCGGCCAGAAAATATGTCATTGCAGTGCCACTGTGGTCTTGAGAATTATTACCTAGGACTAGGCGCCAGGATGCCAACAAACAAGTTGGGCATGATCCGGAATCCGGACAAAATACTTTGACCCCCAAAGAACTCCTTGAGTCGTGCATCGAAGGAAGGGGCCCGGAATCCCGAAAGCTATCCCGCTTCTCGCGACACGCGAAGCCGGAACCACCGACCATGAAATACACCCAAACTGGCAACAACAGTGCTGCTCCCAGCAGAAGCAGCGGCAGCGGTGGCAGCAGCAGCACCACCACCAGCAGGAAACTATCGTTCCAAACAGCGACTTTGAGAATTAATCAGGATGCATAATGCCAGGCGCCACCTGAAGCTTTGCATATCTTCACGTCTAGCAACTAGATCACACGACTTTGAGCCAAGACCGAAGAGCCTTCCTCTGTGCCGCCGCCGCTGGTGAAGAGGCGCTCGCGCTTGATTCCAGCGACGTCAACGCGGGCGAGGAGAATGCTGCTCTTGGGCCTGCCAACATTAGCATGCCGAGTTTCAGCTGGCTCTCTTCGCCGAAACACATTGCAGAGCTGCGGTTCAGGGCACAGCTGACAGCATCGGAGGCCACGCAAATGCTGATTGCAGATTGTCAGTCCTTTGAGGCCGTTCTTTCGAGCTTATAGCTCCCTAGGTCTAGGAGTTACTGGTTCATGCTTTACCGGCAAGTCTTGGAGTCGTGGAAGCCAGGCTGAGAGAATAGGATGCTCTGCGTTGCGACAAGCCTCTTCACATGGACGCTGAAGTTACCCTCCCGGTGCATCTTACCTTGCAGCACAAATAGGATACCGTAGCATAGGATAGTATGGCAGGTGTAGTAATCTAGTATCGAATTTTCTGTGTGAGAGTATATCATGGTGTACCTTACGTTATCTGGACACTGGATGCCTCATATCATATGCGGCCCTGAACCAGCTAAACCCCAATGGTGCAATAAACCACTGAACTGCGTATAGATATCTTACGTAATACATTCAGAGCAACCCTACATTACATGACCCCTACGTTCCCTGACCGTCAGGGACTGGATTGGCCGTAAACTTTTTTACACCCAAACCAAATGGACATCGATGGGCCCAGACGCGATTCAAGGAGGCTGTCAGTCGTCAGGGCTAAAGGGGCGTGAACGGTTTTTTTTTTTTTTGTTGTCACCTCTTTTCCACCTGCCTGGTTAAGTTAGGTCGGGCTCTAGCAGGCCGATTGCCGTCCCACACTCCCGCGAAGCTCTCGTGAAGACCTATTTCTATGTTGTCGTGGTTCTGCTGTTTTTACTATTCGCCACGTAGCATGTATCATGCATGGGTACCACCGTCAGCACCAATCACTAGAGCTGCGGCGAGCTACTTGCTGTCATCGCAAGTAACGAAATCTGGACCAGGACAAGCAGCTCTCGAAGCCACTGGGGTAGAAGCGAAGGCCCAGAGTGCACGCCTTCGTGGAAATGGCTTCGCCAGTCTCGAGACCTTTCCATTCCAGGAAACTTGTCCCTAAGCCCGTTTTCTTAAAGCATCTGTCGGAAGCGACAGAACAGAAAGCTCAGGGGTTTCGACTCTCACACTCGCAGCAGCTTAGGGGTTTGCGGGTTGGGTTTCGAAGATGTGGGCCGGCGAGGTGACTTCCGGGGCGTGCAGGTGCAAATGATGATTTTGGTGGTTTTGGACCTTGCATCTCAGAGCTTTCGGGTCGATGGGGTTCATCACCGGCTCAGGAAGTTCTGGGCTTGGGACACCTGGTTACAAAGCTTCTGAGGGCGATGGGTGCATCTCCAAGCTGCTCCACTCGGGGCTGCTGATGCTGGCCTGATGCAGCAAAAATCAAGTCACGAAGCACAGGTGAGTCGTGTCATTTCGACTACTGATTTGGCCCGCTACGATAAGGGAACTTGAAGGTTGCCACAGACAATGCTAGTGCAACTCTGGTATGTTGCCTGCATTTCTTGCGGCTTGCGGCAGGATTACAACTAACAGTTGCACGAAGTCGTTGCATGTCCTTGCATTAGTTTCTGCATGATGTTTCGCCTCCTTTTCGCGCAGCATGCAACACCGTGCGAATGGTTTGAACTGTTGTTGCGAGTTACACTGTTGAACCGCATGTGCCACCCGACCCGCAAAACCTGCCTGCGACATCGGTACAAAGCTTATGCAGGCCTATACATTTTGCAACCGGCATCCTCAGAGTTTTCTTACGTAACGTCGTTTGGGTGCTAGGGTGCATTAGGCTGCTGCCGTTTCAAGAGGGCTCGAAGATCTGCGAGCTAGCAGCTGCTTTGAGACATTATGATGCCCAACCCTCGAGTTTTCCGTGCCACTATATGCTTCTTGCGGTTGAATTTCCGATTCCTCAACTGTACGATCTACATTCATTGTCCTCTTTCCCAGTGTTCAGAAGTCAACAAGACAAGCTCAAGCTGGGACAAGCAGCGCCCTTTCGATGCGGCACTTGCCAGTGGAATTGGAAGCCCTCCTTGCGGACCAGCCGAAACTCCTGCTCACCCGCAGGGAAGGGTAGGGTTGAGCTTGAAGGGTTGTTGACACTCACACTCAGACAAGCCTGGCAAGGTCTGTAGCGATACTGGTTTGGCGGGCCCTTGGAAGGTTTAGGGCCTTGGCTTAGAACTCACTGCCGGCTGCAATTGTGGCAGCCCTTGTGCGCAACTGCATCGACCTCCAAACTGGGGCAGTACTGCCGCTCTTGTGGGTTCTGGGTGGTTGGCTGTCGGGGGAGGCATCTCTCTGGGGCAAGTCACCCCGAGTCTGGAGAACTCGCAGAGGCCCTTCAAAGCTACGTGAGCCGAATCTCACAGCTCGACGTGAGGTTCCCAACAGCAACACTTAGTGCGCAACAACTGCTACAGTCTTGGTGCAGCAAATATGCATCTGCTGAGTCTGAGAATCTCCGCAGGTCAGTGATCAGCAAACATGACCACTCAAGAAGCACACACAAGCGTAAGAAATCCCAAAGTGTAGCCGCGAACAACAATACTAACATCCAACCCGAAACATCCAAGCAATGAACTTGTCTTTCTGGCCACCTGACCTGAACCTGGGACCCAACACTTGTCTCTGGACAAGAGACCCTAAACGGCAGATCCTGCAGAGCACCTGAACTCCATAAACCTTACCCCTGAACCCCCGTGAGTAACTAAACTCCAAACCCTAAAACCTAAAGCAAAGCCGTAGGACCTGTACGAATTTCTGCGACAGCAGACACCAACCAAGCCCCACGCCGAGCTTCGCACTGCAACAACCCCTCCTAAAACCTCAGACGCCGCTACCTAGTGCAGCAGACACTTACAAAAGCGGACTGCAGGAGCCTAATGATGAAGTTAGGTCTTGTGCTATATAGCTAATGACAATAATTCCTATACTTTCTCATCAGGAACCCTAGGGAATAGTGAAGGTCAGGATTTAGCCCACTCTGTTTAAAAGCACCCTTTGACTCCCGTCCAAGGCATCAGCTTCGGTAGCTTCGGAGATCCGCATCTCGTCCCGCAAGATGTCGCCTAAGCGTGGATAAGTTGGTTGAAAGTTTTGGTTAAGGTTTAGGTTTGAGGTTTTTTTTGGGGGGTGTTTGTTGTTTTCTTGAAGGCCTCTTCCACCTGCCTGTAAAGTTGAGGATCTAGGGTTTATGGTTCTGGCTTGACGTCCCCTCTCACTCGCTATCTCTGTCTCGCTCTCCCACCTCTCCTTCATACACACACACACACACTCTCTCTCTCTCTCTCTCGCGCTCTTGCTTGCTGTCAAGAGTAGATGCACCGAAGCGCCTTCCCCCCGTGGGGCCTCTCAGCGCCGTGCGTCCAGCGTCCGTCGGCGTGACAGCATCGGGGTTTTCCCCGGCTTTGCACCTTTAAACCACCTCAACATCTTTCCCCGGCCTGCAACCCGAACCAAACCGAACCTTGCACGACACTGCCTGCCACCTACCTGCCTACCTCAGCCCCCCGACCCTGAAGCCTGGATGTGTCTGTGCAGTCGGCAGCAACACCAACAGCACAACGGGCCAACACACACGCACACACACAAGTCTTATTTCACATGGACTCTCGCTTTCTCTTTCTTTCTTTCGCCAAGGTTAGGATGAGGAGGGAATTCCCTCCCCATCGCGCGCATGTGCGCCCCCGACGGGTGTGGGGCGAATGGTCAATTTGGCAACAGCGGCAGAGAGCATGCGCCCTGGGGATCGGGGAGATACCCCGGTTCCGGATGCATCTGAGATGAAAGGAAAAGACGATGGCTCACCGACAAATTAGACAAGGTCCCATTAGGGGACTGGAAAATGTAGAGGTGTTCACGGAGGCTCCAGCGGCCCGTCATGAAGTTAGCAGAAAGAGGATCGATTACCTCGGAAGAGGAGCTCACTATGCAAAGGCGGTACTGTGAGTGTACCAGGATATCAGAGGTATGGAGTACAGTCTGAGTTATGTATGCCTCTGTGAAGTGGCCTAAGTCAACATGTTCTTGGTGCACGACGGTTCGGTTACCAACAACGACAACAACGCAGAGGCACCGGAAGCACACGGTTTGCGCACCATGGACGAAAAAATCTTCGGGGGTCCGCTGCACAGCCTCACTCACTGCTTGTAAGTCACCTGGTCCTTCGGCTCTTTTGAGACCGCGCGTTCCTGGAGTCATCTTTGGTCCAGATTCCATGCTGCCTTTCGGCCTTTCTGTTTGCTCGATAGGTAGTTGCTTCCATTCTTCTTCGGCCATAACCGGGCAATCGTCAACGTGTTGGTCCCCATGCAAAGCGCGACCAAGTCGATGAAGCACTTTCCGCTCTGTGGCCGTGTATCTCGGCGGCCCTCACCGGTTCATTCGGCCGGAGGCTACGGACAGTCAAGGGAGGCTGCGAAGTCGTAGAGGTGGCGGCTCCACCGGTTCAGTCGGCCTGTAGTCAGAGACAGTCAAGGGAGGTTGCGAGGACGTAGAGGTCACGGTGTCCTTCTCAGCAGACTCTTCGGGTTCGCTTGGTCTGAAGCAGTCAAAGGGAGGGCTGACGATTTCTCTCTCCCTCTCCCTATATATATATATATATATCCCTCTCTCTCTCTCTCTCACTGCGCTGCCTGATCCTACCGAACTGGCCAGGTGGCAGTTCAGCACGAGCTGCTGCTTGCGGATGGGGGTGCCCTCGACATCCTGAGTTTGCACCGGCTTCGGGCCGGAATCAGGCTTCAGCACAGTCACTCAGCACCTCAGTGACGTAGCGAAGGAGCTGCCCTTCTGCAGGCGGGCGAGCTTTCCGATCAAAAGGCGGATCTTACATGATGAAGAACATATAATATAACTACACGACATTACAACATGTTATATGATGTGAGACTCTGTGATGATAGTTTGCTGCAGTTCACTCAACAATACTATATGACGTCATGTTATATGCATGACATGATATGATATCATAATAATGTATTATAGTGTATTATATTACATAAAACTGCGTAAAACTTAATGAGATTTGTGGTAACATACTTTAATGGGTCATATTATGTTTTCATTGTTGGGTAGTGTGCTATGTTATGGTATGTTATGCTAAACTACGATATATTAAGATATGTTCGGCTACATTGTACGGTGATATGTTCTAGTATCACATTGCAATCTCAAACAAGTATGTTGCAAGCTTATCATTCTTATAATTCTGCCTGTATTATGTTATAGTAGGATATAGAACTTTTTGTCATAACATGTTAGATTAAATCATATTTCTATTCTATTCTATTCTGTTCTCATGTAGTATGTTAAAGCATAATACAGTTTTGTACTATACTACATTATATTAAACTTTTCTATATCATATGTAGAAGTTTATGAATATTCTGTTCTGCTCTATTAAAGTTATGACATACCATCTCATATTATAGTGAGTGATATGATATTGCATCTTGTATAACATGTAGGCACATAATATGGGCTTACACTAACAATTACATTACATGTCTTATACTACATACTGCATATTCATTGTAAAAGTCATGTGCAACATGTTATCTACTCTGCATTACATGTTGGAAATTACGTACTTCCAAATAATCTATATTATGTGTTTAAAATCATGTGTTAGGTACTGTAAATATGCTACAACATTTTATGTTATCTGTTGTGTGCATTCTGTGAAAGTTGTTTCTGTTATATTATGTCATGCTATATGCGACCACATTACACTATGAACTGCAGAATCTATGAAACAGCAGCCGGCACGTGCGCCTCAACAAGGCAAGTCGATGATCCCAGCGTTTGTGCCCACATCTACGTTTACGAACCGTTCCGACGCAATGCATGCTATCCTTGTCTCCGAGGATTTGACAAGCGCATATCGTTTTTACATATACATATACATGATTAGGTGTATAATATATATATATATACATACACAATGCAGGCCCTATATGTATGTATCATTCGTATTAAGTTTACACGAGTCACACTTACTTATGATTGTTCTTGTTCTTATTACCACGTTCTGCTATGGTCTGTTATGATACGTATGTATAAAAATAAATATATAAATAAATAAATATATATAGATAGATAGATAGATAGATAGATATACGAAAACAGCGTCGCAGCTGCTGAAGCCTATCCTGCGACCTGGCGGTTGAAACACGTCCATGTTAAGCCTAAAACACAGCAGCTTCTAAACCAAAAAACACCTTTTGCAATCCAAAACAACAAATACTCCAATTTAGGAGTCCATAGTAACATCAGGAACACAGCAACAAGGAGGCAAAACAGTTAAAACAGACTAAATTCAGCCCGTTGCCATGCTGCCTACGACTATTGCAGACTAACTGGTAAAAGTATGCCCCTGGGGGTCCCTGCAAAGTTATACTGTGAATATACTCCCACACCCCTATTCGATGAAGAAAGCACGTATGTGTTTGGGAACCTTTAGGAGCAGCATGACTGTATTCAGGCCTCTGTATTACTTCAACGACCAGCATCATAACTTTTCCATGGCAGCCGAGGCACACGGAGGCGCGTTTTCACATCGAGGACCTGATAGGTGGGCTAAGCAGCTATGATGGTTTAAGCTTTTCGGGCTTGGGCTTCAAGGTTGGGGGGTCCAGGGTTTTGGGATTTTGAGTTTGGGCGTAGGGCGCACGAAGGCACATGCAATGAAGGAAATGGAATCTTGCTCCGGGGAGGTCTCTGGTAATTAGAACGGGATTTGATAGGAGTATGCGCACGGAAGCCGCTCGAAGCCTGCCGTCCGAATCTGTGACTCTTTATGCATACGTGTATATACATCTATATACACATATGCATACATATATAAATGCAGCTACACATACACATACACATACATACATGATAGAAATATGTAAGAGAACTCAGTATAACGTAATGGAACAGAATATAAAAGCATATGACAGAACATAACAGAATATAGCACACTATAACCGGACACAACAGAATACAGAGGGATATAAGCCCAGATAATACAATATGATATGATATATAACCATACAAGATGGCATCTCGAAAACGTCGTAATGCAAGAAAACAGTATTTCTTAGGTTATAACTTGCAGAAATGCGAATAGTCTAATGTACTATCACACAATGTAAGACAACGCAACATACTACAACGTAATGTAACTAAACTTAGCTGGTAAAACCTGCATAACCGAACATAGATCAGTAGAACATGATAATTTTTTTGCCTCCTACATGGCTGAGCGAGTCGCGATGATAAATGAGACTGTGAACTGTCACCATGTATTGCACTACAATACAATGCAATATGATGGAATGGAATAGAATAGACTAGAATAGAGCAGAATAGAACACAATAGATATATAATACGGTACAATAATATATAAGACCATATATTGCGAAGTAATATGATGCCATGAAAAAACGTGATATAGCACAATGCAAAACAAGACATTGTCGCCTTATGAGATAATGAACTGTAACTTTAAACTGAAATACAAACATAGATCAAAGTAGACATGGAAATAGGAACAGAATTTGTAAAAAAAATTGCATGCTGAATATCAAACTGAGACTTATTGCATATGTACTATATCACGAACGTCACATAAATGTGGGCGAGCATGTGTGTATATGTGCACGTGGGTAGGTATGTTTGCATTTATGTGACATAACTGCATATATATATATATGCATATATACACACACACCCATATTTTGGGTCCAAAAAATCTCTCACTAGGTTGTGACCAGCGGATGCAACCAAATCTGACGCCGATTAGCGTCGCGACTAGGCAGGCAGAGCAAGTTGGTATTCCTCCTGTGCTGATTCGCCCCCCCCACCGATTACGCAAAAAACCCTAAACCCCAAGCCCTGTTGATCTTCACCCACTGAGTAATGAATGAACCACCATGCATGAATCAGGCCAGGCAGCGGTGTCAGAGCGAGGCACGACAAACTCGGCCACCTGCATGGATCATATGTGGCTCCAATATCTGCCTTACCCCCATGCAGATGCATCCATACTCTTGTATGTGGGTACATATGTGCGTATCGTCTTACCTGCATGTATCTCCTATACTTGGCATTCCACACCAGAAAGTCAGTGTCACCTGAGACGAACCTTCGGCACGTCTTCCGGTTGTTCGCATGTTCACAATCTCTGGACAGTGTGCCCTTCAGGAGTTCAATGAGGGTTCCGGACTTTCCCGGCGCAACGATCGAAACTCCGACGAAAGTAACTTCAAACGCAATGTGTAAACCAACAACTGCACCCGGCAAAATCCCGAAACTCTTCAACCCGAAGCCCCAAACCCGAAAAGCCACGAGAAAGCTCCGGACCGGCCTTCGTACCCGAGAGCAAGGAGATGACGACTGTCACCGGTGCAGACTCCACCATGGCGCCCAAACGATGAATTAGTTCATCTGCAAAGTCTTATTATATTTCATATTTTATTATATTATATATATATATAAATATATATAAATATGCGTGAGGGTTTGGTATCGAAGATACGCTATATGCTCACCTCACCGAGCTTGTTGTTGATGTTGTTGGGTATTGCCAATGTTGAACTCAAACTCGCACAG